TGCAATACATCAAATGGCGAAAGCGGTGGCTCCTTGCATCAAAGATTTCTTAATGAAAAAATACCAATTACTTTTTACACATTTATATTATATCATTTAGAGATAAGGCACTTTATGTCACGTGTTGTTCTACTTTTTCCTTAACTTTTCTTTTAGATTTGTTATTCAATCCTATTGTTTTTAGGTGAATTCCTGAACTGATAAATTTGCTCTACAACCTCTATCATTTTACCATACATCAATTGGCTAAGGAGTTGGCCTCTTGCATGAAAGAGATCTTGATAAATCTATGAAAATTGATTTTTCTTACTCTTACATGATATCCTTTATAGATAAGGTACTTTATGGCTTGTGTTCTTCATCTTCTTCATTAATTTTCTTTTAAATTTACGACACAACCATTATTATTTTTAGGTGAATTCCTTAACTGATAAACACTACTGTTGGCCCCATATTGAATCCACCGAACTCCTTTCACTCCTTTCTTTATCTACCTTTCAAACAAGCTTGAATAAAATTGTACTTTTTCCACCAAGCCTATTTAAATCTTTAACTTTTCACGCTAATGGCCATAAATCAGATACTTCCTTCAAAATTAGGCTCAAAACGTTTGCCCTGTAGAAGAATAATACCTAAATAACTTGCAATACTCTATCAAACTTTATTTCGAACTAATTGTTTCCATATCTATTAGTAGCACATTTGTGCACATTCGTTGCTCATTTCTCTTTATTTTTAATACTTCTGGTATGCACACTCACTCTTTCTAACACATTAATTGAGGATGTGCTCTATTATTTTTTTATCCACCTATTCTTATATTTCTACCTCATTTTTGCTTTAAAGACCAATTCAATCAGTCAACCTAATAGTTGATTTTTAGCCTAAACAAGCCAAGCCAAGTTGGTTGAACCTGTCAAACAAATCCAAAATGCCAAACGGACTAGTTGAAATGATTGCACCTACCTAACTTAACATTTTTTTCCTTCAGACTTGAGCTGCAGTTATATAAATTTCATTCTTAAATTTGCTTGCTGGCCTCCAAATTTTTATGTTTTTTTTTTTTAGTTTGTTGATATATACATTACATTTGGACACCCGGTGGGCATGGGCTTTTTGACATTGTAGTTGTTTCGATGAATCATTTCTCGTAGTTAAGATGTTAATAAATGTAGCTTTGTATTCTTTTATTGATCACAGTTTTGCTAACTTCATTCTACTTCCTCATGGGATTTTCATATTCTTGAGATTCCTACAACATGGCTCTCAATTTCCTTTGTAGGACTAATCTTTCTCAGTACATTTTTTTCTTATATTTGGAAGGCATAAACCTCAATCAAAAGCCCATCTGCACATTTTAATTCACCCTCATGAGCTAGTTAACTTGAAGAATATGACAGACTTGTAGATTCTT